GGCGGCGGAGGAGGAAGAGGAAGAAGAGAGGAGCATAGGTAGCAGCGGCAGCATCGAGGCACCCGAGGTGTCGAACTGTTTGACAGGCGGTCAGATTTTCTTTCTCTCTCGCGCCATCGTCGGTGGTGTCGCGATTCGACGGCGGCGTTGTCGTGTGCCGTTTACGAGAGGCCTGTCCGCTGTTCACACAGGAAAAACGAACGTGAAAACAACCGGGAGTGGTGTGTATTCAGTGCCGGCTGAATTGGCGTCCGCGCCCCGACGCCGCAGTTGACGTATCACGACCCGCTGGATCTCCTAACAACGCGTCCTCCGCGTTCCACGAATCTCCAAGATAGCCTCGACTACTACTGGATAGTGCGAAACAGTGCGAAACAGTGTGTGCAGTTGAATTTCTCGTTCGAGTTGTTGGTGTACCACGGGGTTAACGGTGAATCTCTCGGAGGTGACGCGCCGTGCCGAGGGTACCTTGGAGACGGTGGAGAGTTTCGGTGTAGGGTACGGCCAGGGAGCAGGCACGAGCACAGGCGACTGGATGAAACCACCGCGGGATCTTTTTCTTTATTGCGACATGAAGGATTTGGGGCCCGACATGGTATTTATTTTCCTTCAGTTTTATCCTATACAACGTCGCGCTTCGTTTTGATACGCTTCGGAGTCGCGCGATTCATCGAACTTTCCTGAATTTATAGGTTATGTTATCGAATATATTTTATAATGAAAATCTTTTTGTTTATAAAACTTTGAGAAAGGCTCTAACCTCGTGTTATATTTTTTTTACGTTTTTTGTTTGCGGTGCATATTTTTGATAGGTTTGCTAAGCGTCCATTATGAGCAAGATATTCTGTCTAGAACCGCTACTCTCGATTCCATTATCGTTAATGATCGATGATATCAAAACGTTATCGATAACTAAATATATTGGCAACATAATTAAGTTTGCCGGATGATATTATTATTCAAATCTAATTATTTTTATTTGAAATTAGATTAAATTATACTTAAAGTTTAATCAAGAATCAATAGATTGAATGATAAAATTATGAATC